AGGACCCGAACTAGCCTATCCCAGTTCGGTACCCCAGTAAGGTCCTAGTTCAGGTCACTGGCTACCTCTCTGGGTTTTTCCCAGGTTGGACAGCAAATCCAAGTGAAGGTGGGTTACTCCAAGTTGCTGTGGTTATTGCTCCGGAGTCTTGCAAGACCGAAAAGGTTGAACATTGGTGTTTTGTCATGGTAAAACTTCTTGAGATTCAAGGGTTTTTGGGTCAAGAAACTCAAACAACATCAACCAATGAAGTGGTTGGAAGCCACAAAAAGAGGTGTTGACCACAGACGCATTCTTGGTCTTTGGCGTTGACACCGCGCGCCGTACCACGTGCCACGAGCCACGCACGCCCGAGGATTTCGTCCTCGGCCTCGATGGTGCGTTTGAAGGCGCGGGAACTGACCCCGGTGTGGCTCCACTGCCCACGGCCTTACTACGGACAGGAGTGCCTTGGCGAGAGCGGAGACCGGAGAGCGGTGTTGGGAGGAGGAGGAGGAGAAGGAGGAGGAGGAGGAGGAGGACAGGAAAAGCTTTATGGAAGGGCTGCTTGGGCTTTCTGAGCATCTCACCAAGAATCAAGGTAATCAAGGTAATTACTGTCTTGTCCGTTCACCACGCCGAATCCAAAATGGGTTCATGCGTACATGTGCCGAGTTCAGCAGCAGCCTCACGGTACAGGACAAAGGGGGGGCAGACATCAAAACCAATGGCAGCGACTGGCCCAGACTGCTGACCCTTTCCGCCAAGAAGAAGCACCGACCGCGAACGGCGATCGGAGTGCCTCTTCCCCCCCCGACGTGAGGAGATGATGTTTTATTCGACTGGCATGGTATGTAGGTGCCGAGAAACGGTTTTGGGGTATATATGGTTCATTTCAGGGAATCCATGTATCTATACATAATACTCCATAGGGCTATGGGTCACAACCAGGATCTTACTAATTTAAAGTTTGAGAATAGGTCGAAGACAGCTCTCCCCTGATTCCTCTAATCATTGGCTTGACCTCATGGCTGGGGATCTTTTTCACCTGTCTGCTTTGGCTTCCGAAAGGTCACTGCTCTTCGTGATCTTCGCCGTGGGCTCGCAAGCCTTTCCAAGCTCCAAGCTTCGCCTCTCTTGGCCGCTCAACGGCGTGACGCGTGGAATTCTTGGGGCAGGGGAACACACCCTCGAATTCCTGGCCCACCGACGGGGCCCACCGATTTGCTGAATTCAGAACAACCAATTTGTTGATCATTGATCATTTATTTGACCAAGGCCTTTTCACGCCCTTTTCGTTTGAGACTCCCCAACACCAAATCGCAAGCGCACCTTTTTCGTCGACGGTCTTCCGGGGAAATACCGATGGACACAGGTTTCAGCGAAAGATGGCACAGGTGGCACCAGATGTGGGTGGGTTTTAACCGAAGGACCTCCATCATCTGTCTAAAGACCATCTAAAACCTACGCGAACACATCCATGCCAGCTCCAGAGAGGTCCCCGCACGGCCGCACGAATCCAACGGCTTCTCCAACGGTGAATGGGGCCCAAGTGCGTGGAGAAAGAGCTCTTAGGGGTGGATCCAACAGAGGTAGCCAGTGACCTGATAGGACCCGGAAAACCACGGGTATGGATAGACTCTTGATTAATAAACCCCCCATATGAAGAGCATGTCCAATTCAAATGGGAGGGTTTATTAATCAAGAGTCTAGTTCGGGTTCTTCAACCTCTGCTGGATTGGGAATACGAAACATCCGTTTATGCCCACACCACCACCCAAGGCTGGAGAGCTAGAGAGCGCAGCTACATAGGGCATGGGGGCACGCACCGGGGCCACTGGCTTAAGGGGCTCACAGGCTGCTCAAGCAGGGGGGACACCTCACCTCAAGTCCAACAGGTGGCCAGTTTCCGAGCTGAAGCGGCCCCATGGGAAGCAGCAGAGGAGAGTTGAGGAACATGTCGATTTCGACCTCCAAACGTGTGGAACCTCAGGAAGGGTCTTGTATAGATGGAGATCGTTTGGGGTTGCATGCTGTTTTGGGGAAACCATGATTTCGATCCAACTCACCAACTCCTCTCCATCCTCGGACATTCCTCTCCACCCCCTATCCCAGCCGTGCTTGCTCCGGACCTTTCAGGGGGATAAAAGATGAACCTCCCAGACGGCGACGTCCGGACCCTCCGTTCAGTAGGGGCCCGGACTCGAATCCTTTGGAGGGGTCCGGACCTTCTCGCCAATCCCTATAGGGTTTGGTTCGGGACCGGTCGGGCGTCGTGGTCGGGGTCGCGTCTGGGCTGTTCATTTCCGGAAACGGTGGACCTCAGGCAGACTCCGTCCTCTTCTCCGAGCCATCGCTTCATGAGCTGCTTTTGGCAGCAGTCGCTGCTGCGCCGGCAGCAGTGGCGAAGTCCTTGGGATCTCACACAGGCGGAGTGCGCGGCGTGCACGACGTGCGTGGACGACGGAGCATGGGGAGAGGCCGTGAAAGGGAGACGAGCGTTGATTGGTGCAAAGGAGAAAGGAGTTTTGGGAAGGGTTTTTCATCCTGAGGAACTGCGGAGGGGCGAACATCAGATCTTTCTTTGTCCAAATAGGCGCTTCCAGCCACACTTCCGGCTTCATAGGTCCTATGACATCCTGCATCCCACAAAACAGACCTGTAGGTCTGAACGGTGGGGTTCACCAGGGTTCACCAGTCCACCATCAGGCTGGCTCATCCCATAAAGGGTTCTGCCAGGCCACCAATTGAGACCTCCTCCAACAGGAGGGCCGATCCCCCAACACCCTCCATTTTGGAGACCAGTATAGAGTTCGAGTGCTGGTGTAGCAACCTACGGAATTCTGCCGAACTTGCTCAAAGCATCGAGCTACTAAGCCTAAGCCAGCGTTTTCTGAGCACCGGGAAGAAACAGATGGACCAATTCTGGGATGAAAAGAGCGGACATGGGCACACCCACCATGACCCCTCGCTTGGACTGCTCGACCATCCCCTGCTTTGGGTCAGGGGTCTGAGGGGGTCTTGTTGTGGCTCAAAGTGGGCATGGAAGATCTAGGTGTGCAGAGGGCAAGCCGATGCAAGCTCCTCTTTGGAGAAAAACACTGGACTCTTACCCGGCCAAGTACCTGGCCAGGGGGTTGGCAAGAACCATTAGAACCATTGGACTGGTGGCGACTTAGCATGGCTCAGCAAACCCTGGATGCTGGAAGATCACCATACTCCAAGAATCCATTGTAAAAGACCAGGTGGTTTTTGTGGCTCTTTCATACCTCTACCTTCTTTCGGGCTGTGTCTGGAGGTCCCTGTAGGTCGTGGGCTGGGGCGAAACCAGCCTCGTGACCCCGTAATGAAGGTGCTGGTACCAGCAGTCACAAGACGGGGTGCTATCCATGGAGGTGGCTGGGGTGCCCAGCTACTCCACTCACTTGGGGACTAAACACCACCCCGTCGAACGTGACTCCTGGTACATGGATCTGAACTGGATCCGTCCTGCTCCGACCCGACCTCCGCCCCTACCTCCGGCGATTCCGGACCGTGGACCGGTCCGACGCGTACGGCGTAGGACTGCCCGTTTTAGACAGCGTACGGCGTAGGTGCAAATGGCCCAAAGCAAAGTGGCACAGATGCAAAGCTGGAAGTGGAAGACCCACGTCAAAAGAGGATTCCGTCCGAATGGGACGTGTGTATAATTACTCTGGGTTCGTTCAGATCTTAACCCTCAACCGCCTCAACCTCAAAAGCGTTCCATGCAGCGACTAGCAGGATCATGCTGGACCCCAAACAGGAAGGCCGAGTCGAAGGGTGGCGACTGGCGACCCAGACGACCCAGACAGTCGCAGGTGGTGATCTGGCAGGTTTCGGGTCCGGCTAGCTGTATCCTGCCGCAAACCCAAGTTGTTGACGGCAGGTGCCTGCAGTTCTGGAAGAAGAGGCGCAGCTCCGCCTTTCAACCCGCGGTGCTTGTCGACGCCACGGAACCTGGTTGTGTGGGTTTTCATGTCCAGCTGCGAGGACAGCTGCGGCCGTCGCCCCAAAAAGGCTGCAGGGAACGCCGTTTTCAATCCCCAAACAGTGTGACCACACTAATTAGGGGTTCGTGCGGTAGGGGTTCAGGCTGGGGTTCGTGCGGTAGGGGTGCTCATCGGCGTGTCCGGCGAATTCGCTACGATGGACGGTGCAATTCATGCCTCTCGATCTCTTCGAAGTGCACTTCACCTGCACAGGCTCGCGTAAAACTGCTGGTGGCGAGCTCTTCTCAACTGCGCTCTCGTCGTGGTGCCGGGCGCATGTTCACTTTTTGACAGGCACAAGGGAACCCCCATGCTTTGGTCCAAAGAATGCCCTTTAGGAGATCGGGGCCGTTTCTGAGCTTGAACCAAGTCAAACTTTTTGCGGTTGGATAAATTGAATCATGTCCATTTCTTGCTGGAACTGGCTTCCAGTTGAGGGCTTTCTGAAGAAATTAAGGTACATGTTTCAATACAGCAACCGGTACCATGTCGGCTCTTGAAGTCGGTGGTCACGTCTTTTTTCCGGCGAATGAGAAGAAGAGAAGGTGAATAGAGTGGTGAGCCATGATGTGGCGCAAAGCAGGCTGCCAAGATGAAATCTCCTGAAAGTCAGGCACATTCCGACTGGTATAGACCCCCGAGATAGAAAGCATCGAAAAAACATTCCTTTTTCAACATGTATTGGATACATTTGGATACCGTTTCTATCTGTTTGAGGACCATATACCAGGACCTTCCAAGTCCGGTGGTTTTTGGCCACCTCGACTCACCTCCAAGAGGCTATTTATAGACACCTCTTGGAAGATCCTGGTATAAGTGTTTCAAGTCGCGATTTGTCTTTCAGCTCCTTGCTGCTGCTCCCGTGTTGCCTGCCCCTTTTTCCTCGCGGCTTAGGTACCGCGTTTTCAGGTGTCGGTTTCACTATATACCCAGGTGTCGGTGCAGGTCCTGGTATAAGTCGGTATAAGTGTTTCAAACAACCCTAGGATTCAAACAACCATTGTTCTTTTAAGGATCTTTGAAGGCATACCCTGGAAGTGAGTGGTACCACCTCTTCGGCCCCGCGGAGTCCAGGGCACGACCGCGTCGACCGCGGACTCCTTGCTGCTGGCGAGCTTCGAAGGTTGTACTGGAGGCGAGGGCGGCGACCAGAAGGGGTGAAGAGAAACCGTGGTGATGGGTCGCCCTGCTTCCCATTGTTTTTGCGCTGAAAAAAAAGAGGGAAGTTTGAGTCCGAATCTGATTGGGGCCAGCTTTTCTTCTTTTACTCTTTGCTGCGTCTCGGGCAGGGGAGGAGCAAGTGACCTTGAGCCACTCGGTGAATGGGAAGGGAGATCGATCGGGCTGACTCGGATGAGATTGATCGAGGGTCGTGGACTGGCTGAGGTGGACTGAGGTGAGGTGATGAAGGCAGTAGACGTCCACCAGCCGGGTTTAAGCGTGTTTACCTGTCGGAAGAACGATGAAGAACCCATGGTTTTACTAGCGAGAAGCTTCTAGTAACAAGTGCCTCGCTAGTAGTAACAAGTGCCTCGCTAGTAGTAACAAGTGCCTTACTAGTAGTAACAAGAAGCTATTAGTAACAAGTGCCTCGCTATATACCACCTGCTTCCGGGCTAGGGGTCACCTGGCTGGATATCTCCACACTACGTAAACAGGTTTCCAGACAGGGCACCCCGACAGGAAGCGCTAGGTATAAGCAAGGAGTTGAGACTACCAAACGGAAGGCGACAGGGAACTTGTTGAATGGCTTTTGAGTGGTGAGTCGTGAACTCTCTGCGACCGGGATGGGTCGAAGGGTCGAATGTTGACCATCCCCTCTTGGTCTTGTTTCCTTTCAAACAAGGTTCAGGATGGTCAAACGGTCCGTTTCGGCTTCGGGATTTCCGTGGTGTTCCATGCGTTTCCAGGATGTGCGAGGTGTTCTTATTGCATGGATGTTCTCTCGAAGAGAGAGGGACCCCGGAGTTCTTCAGATAGTTTCGACAGGAGTACAAGACTTGGGGATTTTGGTTCTCCCCCTTACAAAACAGAGCCAGAGAATACCAGAGATCACAGAATACTTGGAACATCTTGCAACAAACCTCTTCCCCCAGCCGCTCCGTTCACACCCTGACTGGTGCCTCAAAACCTTGGAATTTGAGACCCGCGGTCCGACCCCTCCAGATTCGGGTCCGACCCCTACTGAACGGAGGGTCCAGGGTCGCGTTTGGGCAGGAGCATTTTTTCGAATCACCAACAGAGGTTGAAGGACCTTATAGACTATCCCATAGGTACCCCAGTAAGGTCCTATAAGGTCACTTAACCTCTCTTGGCACTGTTTGACCCGAAGGAACCCCCGAAGTTCCCGGTGTGATGGGACGAGCATCGAACAACCCCCCGGTTCGAGCGATGAAGAGCGGGGCGGGTTTTGGATGGTGCCCTGAGCCCTGTCGTGTTTTTGTGTTCACTATCAGCATCTCGTTTGAAAAGGAGACGTGCCGAAGTCGACCAGACATCTTGTACAAACAGTCATCCCACCCCCCACACGAACATACAATCAGTTGCACCATGTTAGCACCTCTCAACTCGTTCGTTTCGGGCTCCTTTCGGCCGCCCCGACCTATTGGGCGCCCCGAATCTTCGACTTCCGGCCCCCAAACCACTCGGTCGGTGTGACACCGGGACGTGGGCGGGCTGAGGCCTCGAGGCACCCCTCGCCCCGCTGAAGAGCTATCTCTTACAGACGCTCGGGCAGCAGCTCCGGTCGTCCGAGGACGACCGGTCGTCGTCCGTCGGTCCGTGTTTTGCTCCGGTCGGACCTGAGAGAAAGGGAGAGGTCGTCGTGAAGGACAGGTCGCTCGTGTGAAGTGAAGGGGATCAAACGAAAAACACAAGCCCAGAGACGACCTGTCTGGGGCTGCCATAGGACTGGGGTGGTGCCAGGGGGGTCACTGGGGCGCCAGTCCGTCCAGTCCCAGACAGGTCGTGTCTGGGAAGGGAACATCGAGGTATTCATATGACGCTACTGTATTGAACTCGACGAAGGTGTTCAGCACTCTTTTTGGGGGGAGGATCGGGGAAGGGGTGGAATCTTAATTCAAACCCCGCAATCAGCCTGAAGAGGTCTTACAGTCCATGTCTGGGGAGGTTTATATTGCGCAAGATCCATCAAGGGTTTCTTCGAAGAAGCCTGATGCCAAAGACACCGGGAAGATGTTGCTTGCTGAATGAATGATTTATATTGAATTCATTGAAGAATGCGTAATATAATGTAATATAATGTAATGATTCATATGCCAGCACCCGACCTCACCGGTCACCGGTTGCGAGGTTTGAGTCTGTATTTCAGCCACCAGAACAAGACTTGTTGGAGGGTGCTGGTATTGACTATATGTAACCCTAGAAGTCCAAAGACTATATTTTGACTGACTGAAGTAAAGGAAATTCCTGAACTCGGGTCACCTAAAGACACTTCTTTTGCAGTCTTTGACTCCCAGGGTGTAATATTAATATTCAACTGAATGATTCATTTGTATTCATATATATCTTGGAGTTCCTATTGAATGGAATCCCTGTTCCTTGCTGATCGGACATCGGATGCTTAGAGGATTCTGGGCCTTGCGAAATTGCGTAGAACAAAGCAAAAAAAAAAACTCACAACTCCACAAGAGAACGGCCCAGAACGGGCATCCGCCGGGAGAAGCCTTGGGGCTAAGCCCGGAGAACGACCGCGTGGCGTGAGTGTGAGAACAAGACTCAAAGACTTTGAGGGACTTCTAACAGAGGTGAAGTGATCTTCAACCTCTGCTGGTTTTATTGGTGGGACTTCAAAGAGTTTTCTTTTTTGGAGGAGCCTTGCTTGCTAAATTTTGTGAGTTCCCAAGACGCACAGCAAGCGACGTTCTGAAGAACAGTGCACTGGTGAAAATAGAAGCATCTTCCCCTCTGGACCAAAGGTTTCTCACTCGAAATGGTTTTTTCGTCCACCACGGCAGTCCTCATCGTCCCATCGCCCCTGTAGGGATCCAGAAAGGTGATGTGTTCTCTCCACTGTGATGAGACGGTGCGAAGGCTCGCCAAGAATTCCTCCACCCGGTCTTCCCAGACACGACTAATGGGGCTGCCATAGGACTGCCGCCCCATTGACCCCCCAAACCACCCCAACTGATCGGCATATATGGCAGCCCATGGAGTGTCTGGGCTTGGTTCCTGTCTTCTCACTTGCGGCTCGTCTTCTCACTCCCTGTCTCCACCCCGCATCGAACCGCGTGGACGCCACTCGAGGCTCGCCGTGGCGCACGGGCCGGAGGCGGAGAATGCGACGGAGGCGGAGACGCTCTTGACCTTGGAGGTGCCGACCCTAGGGCATGCGACGGAGAGAGCGCGACGGATGGGGGGTGTCTCCAACAGAGGTTCAGTGACCTGAACTAGGCCATAGGACCCGTCATGAGGGGTAGCCGAGAGGATCGTCGAGACGAAGTGAGTTCTGACCTCATCTGGAGGGGTCCGGACCCTCAAATCCCTAGGGTTTTGAGGGACCCAAGGGCTGTTTGGAGCGTTTGGGTACAGGTGATTTGGATGAAAAAAGGAAAGCTCCGAGCTCCGAAGCCAAGCCCATGAACACCAGTGTTGAAAGAAGAGCGCCTTCGCAATGGCCAATTTTTTTGTGTTTTTGCCACGTACAAACGCCCCACGTACATTGAGTGCGAGTGCAGGATGTTTTGCCTCAATAGATCTATAAGTAAGTATACATCTAACTCCTGTACTCTAGAATACTATCAATAACCTCAAGCAATAAGCAGGACTTTGGACCAAAACTGAGAGCAGTTCGTCATAGACACCTTTTTCACTCTACAGTCAGACCTGACCCGTGCCTTCGCAATAGCAAGCAGTGTTGCTCACGCTCCTGGGCTCCAGTCGTACTGCATGAGAAGGTATGACTGGACCCTCCTGAAACACCATCGAAACGAAGGTCTTTGGAGGCCGATTGTCACTGACTATATATGCATACCACGAGTCACAGGGGGGTGCCAATTGGAGGATGTCCACTCACTTAGGGACAAAAACCACCCCTTTGTGACTCCTGGTAGTCATGTGCTTTTGGGATGAAGCGTGAATTCCACAGTGGGCGCTTTTGGGGGAATGTCGACTGGAGGGACCAGCACCAACCTTCACAGGTCACCGATGGAAACCTGCAACAGGGCCCTTCCCAACCCATTTCGGAGACCTGTAGAGTTTGCTGGTACAGGTGTTCGGTCCGTTTACTGCAGAGTCAGCGGGTTCGAACTGGATCTTAGCCTCGGAGCGGACCGAAGCCCTCTGAAGCCCCCGAAGGACCCTGAAGCAGCTACATGTGCAGGACCCTGACTGCTCCCCGGACATGGATTGAAAAGCCCAAAGGCCGAATCGGAGGGCTTTAGTCATCAAGAGTACCAGGACCGAAAGAAACCCTGAAGCACCGGCGGTGTTGGGACCTGAAATCACCTGGAATGGGAGGATATTGAAAGACACAGGGTCCTGGTACCCGTTTCTTCGCCCAAGAGCTCGAGTGGTGAGGGTGTTTGGACGAAACGACACACGTGGAACGAACCATGGAACGAACCATGGAACCACACTCCACGACCTGGAAAACTACTCCCATATACGACTAATGGGGCTGCCACATATGCCGCCCCAGAAAGTCGGCAGTCCGGACTGGCAGCCCGCGTCTGGGACTGGCTAAGTCCTGACGACTCCTGGGAAACACGGCGGGGGTGGTGGGGGTGTTTGGGGTGGTTGCATGTCAGGGGGTCAATAGTAGACGGCATCTCTTCCAGTCCCAGAATCCCTCGCACCAGTCGTGTGTTCAGCTCCTGCCGGTACTTTGCCGGCATGGGCTAGGCTTGAAGCCATCCCAAGAGAGGTTGAGAGACCTTAGACCCTGTAGTGGTACATCTGGGATGGGCGCCCTAAGGCTGTTCAACCTCTCTTGGTCCAGGTCGCGCCTTTTGACGCGCCCTGCAGGTCCTCGAAGACTCCCAAGGTCTGCCGCGCGCCTTGGCGCGCTCCGCGGACCTGCGGACCTACGCCTTGGCGGAGGCGCGGCAGCCGCTGAGAGCCGGGGACCGACCTCAACCCCAAGAGCCTGGCGGAGCTCTTGCTCCATACGGCCACCGCGTGGCGGGTGGCTTGTTGGTAGTCCGACGTTTTGGGACTGCAGCCCACATACCCAGACACGACCTGTCTGGGACTGCCAGGACGGACTGCCGATCTGAGGGCCATGGGGGTCTTTCAGACAGGTCGTGTCTGGGATATGCAGTCCAGATGCAGCTCAGAAGCACCGGGACTCTCACGACCTCATGACACCAATGCAGTCCAGCAGCAGTGCATCTCCAGGAAGGTGACTGGGTGAAACCGTCCACCGCAGAGGGAGGTTCCGTCGTCTAGTCGTCTGACTCCGTCACGATGCCGGACTGGAATCCATGAGGGACTGGATCTTTTGCACATTCCCAGACATTGGTCCCTCAAAACCCTATAGGGATTGGCTTCAAAGGTCCGGACCCCTTGACCCAGTTCGGATTCGGGTCCGGCCCCCTACTGAACGGAAATTCCGGACGTCGCCGTCTGGGTTGGATGTGTCTTTTTTTAGATGCTTGGAGGGCCAGATGGTCCATGTAGGTCAATCTTCCATACACCCTAGGGCTCAAAACATATACCCGCGTGGTACAAATGGAGGGTTGTTGGCAGCAACCCACCGAAAGATCACAGCTTTCTCAGAAGGTATGACTGGAACGTACACATGTACCGTATGCTCTGTCCCATTGCCAGTAACAGCTGGTCAAGGTGTATCACTATTGTTCAACAAGCCTTGCAACCTAACCATCATCGTCCACTGGGTGGTAGGGATAGACCCAACATTGAGGGACCTGGTATTGGAAAAGGGTTTGCACATATATTGTCAAGTAGTAAAGCATAGTTAAACTGTAGAATAGGACTTCGGAACACTGCATTTAAGACTGTATATGGAATAAGACGTGGATACTTGTTAAATAATGTTAAATATGTGAGTCATTCATAGTAAAACCGTTGCATATGCATCTTCTTGGAGCCCTTTTAGGGTCCAACCGAATGTGACTGGGTGGTCATCGGAGGAGATGACGCTCACTCGCTGGAGCTACAGCAGTGCCTTCCGCTCTGCAGCTCGGCCGCGATCCATGGTGGGACGGCATGCCGTCTGACCAACATTCACCACCAAACAAATACACCAACAATGTCGCCCTACAAGTCCATTTGACCTCGTGAAATACAGATGATCATACAAGACCAATACTTAAGGAGGTTTCCAAGACCAGGTGTTGCGGGGTCAGACTGGACGTTGGGCCGGGATAGGCAAATAGGCATAGATGCCCAAGATAGGCGGATCCTTAGGGATATCCATCGCCACCGCGGATTGAGGAATGACTTGTTTGTCGCAAATGGTGTTCCAGCCTAAGAATCCGTAGCCCTCCATGAGTCCGGACCTTCAAGACGCAGGGGGAAGACAGACCCGAACCAAACCCAGCCTATAGGTGTTTGATGGCCCGGATTCTTAGGGCGTTTTCCCTTCAGTGAAACTCATTCATTAACTTCAAGAAATCATGGCTTGGTTCACCGATTTAGCTGACTCCTTTAGGACCGGGCGGCGTGCCGACGACATGTTCAGACACCGAGGTTAACCGTAGAGTTGAATTGTGTTTTTTTCTTTAAGTTAAGGTTTGAGTGGATATTTTACCACCGTACCCAAACACTCCATGGATGGTATATTTACATACATTCGGGTGGTTGAAGTCGGGGTCAACGTAGGCATTGCATACATGGAGTGTGTGGGGTAGAGTTGGTAACATGCGATGCTCTGGCCAACTTCAGTCCTTACAAACAGGCAGCCCTTCTTTCCCGGGAATGAGAACTGCCTTGGACGGAGAAAGGTGTTCAGAAACCGAACAGTTTGGCGAAGTCTTTACATGCCGTGGTTGCATGAGGGCAGATTGATTGCCCCAGCAATACTTTGCAGTTTGCCACCTGCAAACAAACTAAAACTCAAGGGGCTTCACAAACGTGCAAGTCATTTCATTTCCCCGGAGGGCTATTCCAGACGAAGTTGTGCACGAGTGGGCACAGGGTATGCCTCACGGTCTCCCTGGAACAGACCTGCTGAATTGGGTTTTTAACCACGTCTATGATTCATTGGCAGGCCAGATAGCATATGACCTGCTGAGACGACAAATCATCGCAAGGACAACCAAGCAAGGAGACGATCTTTGGAAGAAAACGCGAAGTGTGATAGATAGACTCGATTGCTTCGTATGCATCTTGGACATCTATCAACATTGAAGGGCAAGGGTCAATTATTCTCGGGCAAAGAGGTGATGAGCCTGGAGTGCCTAAGATGCTTGTTCACTGGCCACGTGATGGTTGGATACTCTCATCTAGCTGCTACAAGCGTGACGACACGTTGGGTGCAGAACTCGCCACCATTGGATGTGGCGTGGTCAAAAGTTGAAGTCAAAGCATTCAAATATTTGCACATCTTCCCGGAGGCCTTCAGACGTCTCAATCCAGCAATGCTTGGGGGCAGATCAGATTGAGTATGACAATGTCACTGGCATGGCAGGACGACCCGCAGATGGTACAGGCACAGTTCAATCCATCTATGATCACCGCATGAGGAGGTTTGGGTCTCAGTTGCTGTGGGCCAAAAGGTGATGTCAAGGTCCAGATCAGACATGTTCCAATGCTGAGACCGCAGGTGAATCACAGACTGGCAGAAGTGATTCCTGAGAATGCAAGCGGAGATTGGGTCAGACCAGTTGAAGAAGCAGGGCAAAGACATGTCGCCAAAGAGCTGAGGCTGATGGAGGATGCAGGATGCAGCTGCTGAAGTCCAAAGACAAGAAGGACTACATTGCGGCTCTCAAAGAACTCATTCTGATGTGGAGGCACAGGATGGAGACAGTCGACTGTGTCACAATCCCATTTCGCCAGAGAGATGCTACCTTGGCATGCTTCTATTCTTGAGAAGTGTGGGATGGAACTTGAGATTGAGCATTGGGATGATGTCTCGAGAAGTGCTACAGTGGAGGATAATGATACAGCCCCAAATGGTATAGTCACAGCCAACTACATGATTGAGGCGGTGGTGAGCACGTTCACGACAATCCAAGCCCAAACTTCAAAAGAGAGAAAAGATCTACGTAGTTGCACACGGAGTTCCAAGACATCGGGTGTCTTGGTTGAAGTCGTTGGACGTTAATGTGGTGGAAGGCAAGACTCACAAGGACTTCGTGAACATTCGTGTGAGCAAGGAATTCTTATCATTTGCAAAATCCAAGACTGACTCCCGCTTGACCCAATCGGTCCAAGCTGAGGTCAGCGAGGAAGGGTTGTGGTAGAGCAGAGTTTTTAAAGCATCCAGAGACCCTTTGAGATTGCCTCCTGTGGCTGAGGCTGTCTTTGCACCCCCAACCCTTGGTTTCATCAATGAGCTTCTGGTGTCCTAGCCCAAGTTCATCGCACTGGATCATGATAACAGGGACATCCAAGCACTAGCTGACTCCCAATTTTGCTCCGTGCTTACTGGTTCTGATTCTTGGTTTTTTGACTGGAAGTTGGCGCTGGCTTGCGACGGTGTCTTCACCTATATTGACTCCAACTCCACGGATTCTCTTAATCCAGCACTTTGGAGACCAAGACAGGCCTATGCAGGGAAATGACGAGTCAGAGAGGAAAGTGCCAGTGTGCAAAGAAAGCACCAAGTGGGGTGGCTTTCCAGAGTCCCAGCAGAACTTCGGCGAGTACCTGAAGTACGTGCTGGGCAAGCAGAGACGAATGTTTCGAGATAGCGCCAAGCGAGGTGGCTTTCCAGAGTCTGAGCAAAGGTGCTCTTCAGTCGCAGCAGCACTTCGGCGGCTTACTTGAAGTACATGCCGGGCAGTCAGAAACAAATGTAAGCGCGGAAAGAGGTGGCTAGAGCTCGAACAAGAAGTGAGCAGAGCTGCGCACATGCGCAGGGCCTAGCGGCCTAGTAATGCGATCGCCTGCGCGCGCCCGGAGAAATACCGTGGCATGAATATATAGACTAGACCATGACCGTTTGGCCTTGTTGCCTTGTCAATCATCTTGGCATAGATCAGCGCAGGGTTTGCTCTGCTTTTGCTGACGCAGTTCGCCTTATAGCGCGCTGCAAGCCCGAAGGAGCCCGATTTCTGGTTCGGAAGTAACCCTTATCGGTGCTGACTTCTTGTGGGCCTTTGCATTGAACTGAGATTTAGGTGCAGCCACGGCCATCTTCGCATTGGCAAGGAGCCTATATGGGACCGTGCAGCTGCATCTACAGTCGCGAAAAAGGAACAACGAACACGTGGAACACGACTGTTATTGGTGTGTGACGACTCTTTGGTGCAATCATTGGAGTGTCACACTGTCATTGCTGACACACGCCTAACCACCACGCCACGTCTCACCCCATGCCACGCCATCAATTTCAAGTCTTCGTAGACCGCGATGGTGTTCACCCCGCGGCGATGTCCTGCGACGTTTGTTTAGGATGCTTTAGGACACGTGGCTGGGGGGCGGTTCGGAAGGTGTGCTTGATGTGTGGGTTCAGAAGCTTCAGAATGTGGAAAGAGCAGTCACTCTTCCGATTGAACCGGGTGGTGATGCTTTGCAGTTTCGGATCGAAGTTTCGGCTGATGCCTGGAACCAATTGACAAAATTTCCCTTGACCGATGGGTCCGGGGGGGCACATGCCAAGTGGTTTGATTTCAGAGGGCAATATTGATATTTGTTCAAAAACCATCCATGGATGGAATAATTGACATTACCCCATTTATGAATGACCATTCAGAGAAAACTATAGCTATCTATTCCACACATGGATGGTCTGAGACGGGTCGTTTTTTGCGCCATGGAGTCCAGTCTGGAATAATTCCAGCCACCTGAAACATCCCGACATTTTCTGGCACCAAAAACTTCTTGAACCAGAGACTTCTGTGAGACTCACAGAGCATCCCATCCCATCAGTCTGCATTCCACGGAGAAACTCCGGATCCCGCACCTGGTCAGTGGAGATGCATTGGATCTGGTAATTTTTCTGGTGGATCTGGGCGTGTTTTTTCTTCGCCCGGCTTAGTTCGCAGCGTGCGGAGCAGTTCCTCAGCCAAGGCTGAGAACTCTTTGGACTTGGAATTTCAGCCGAGCAAGACCACGAGTGAGAGTCAGGCCACGGAGTTCGGAGGCGATCGATGGACGTGTTTTATCTGGATGTTCAAGGAGTTCATGAGTTCATGAAACAGACGTCGGTTCATGAAACATCTTTATCTAGTATGTTCAATGATGTTGCAATAGATTTTCATGTTTCATGAGTTTCATGACACCATTTGTTTGACCAGTTTTGACCAGACGTCATCAGTGAAGGGGTGTATTTGGATGGTGGCCACCATCGTTTGGGAATCAGGTTTGAGAAGATCCTACTGGAATCACTCTCCGGCATGCGCCTGTGTCAAGTCTGTCGGGATGCACGGCAGCGAACATGGGTGGACGGCTTAAGTTGCACCTGGTTGCGCCCAATTCCATGTGGAGCAACTCCAGTATTTCATGAGGTCATTGACCTGTAGGGCGCCCTAGGGCTTTCCTTGTCATCCAACTCGATCGCCGCTTCCGCTCCGCGCGATCGCCGCCACGCTTGGACTGAGACGAGGACGCCACTCCGACCGGCATAGAGGAGGCCACATGGATGTGCCAACAGAGGTTGAAGAACCCGAACTAGACTATCTCAGTTTGGTACCCCAGGTGACCTGTCCTATTTACGGTCACTTAACCTACCTCTCTTGGTGGGTCAAAACCAGACCCTACAGTGGACTACAGTTGCGTCTTCCACCTGGGTCGGGTCGGCAGTCCGTGCGGTTGGACCCGGCGCGACCACGACGTGTCGGGGGCTGGACGGACTGCCGAAGCGGCCCGAGAAGGGGTGGTAGTTTGGAAGTATAGGGGGTCGACCTCTGGGGCAGCAGTCCGTCCTGGCAGTTCCGAGTGTATGGGGTTGGTTTTGCCATGTTCCGCCCTGCATGTTCCGCCTCCCGCCCGATCGGATCAAGGGCAAGGGCAGAGACGTGGGGTGCCAGGCGACGATGTTGGGCTTCCTGTTGCAGGCGCCACCCACCTTCCTCTTCACGCAGAAGTCCTGTGCCTCGTTGGAGCGATTGGAGATGACCATGGAGATGACCATGGAGATGACCAGATGGAGATGACCATGGAGACATCGTTGTTCGTCTCGGGAGAACCTGCCAAGAGAGGTTAACTGACCGTAAATAGAACCTTTCTGGGGTACCGAACTGGGATAGTCTAGTTCAGGTCCTTCAACCTCTGTTGGTGGGTGAACATTTGTGTGTGTTTTCCCAGACGCTTTGTTCACAGGCCCCGGTCGGCCCCGAACACCATAGGGATCGGTTTGGAAGGGCAAAGGACCCCGAACCACCCGAGGATTCACGGAGGGCCCACTGAACTCATGGAGGGGTCTTGACTGTGAGTCTGGGTTACAATACCTGGATCTTCCGAATTTCTTGCCTGTTCATCCATAGTTGGCAGAAATTCTGGCAACCCTTGCAAGAGACAGGTCTATGCCAGGTAGACCGAAGGCACCAAGTCCGGTGGTCTTTTGGGACACCCCGAATCACCTCTTCAGACCTACCGAGAGAGGTAGCTTAAGTGACCGTAAATAGGACCCGTCACCCGGGGTACCGAACTGGGATAGTCGAACGTTCAGGCCCTTCAACCTCTGTTGTTAAGAGGCTATTTCGAATAGACACCTCTTATCGGTGTCGGTCCCGGCACATCGGTGTCGGCCCGCAAGAGACCGGAGAGACGCCCTCCGAACCCAAAGAAGACGTGCACCATATGCCTATCCAACAGAGGTTGAAGGACCTGAACTAGACTATCCCAGTTCGGTACCCCAGAATGGTTCTATAAGGGCACTTAACCTCTCTTGGATAGGCTTCCTTGGCCCACCATTCATTGTTCATAGGCGGGTCATCCCGAATCAACGACCAGGATTTTACACTACAAACACCAGGTCGTTCCCATTGTTTGAATGGTCGAACGGAAGTCTAGTCTAGGGATATATGCCATAAACATGAGGCCGAGTTATTTAGGCACTCAAAAGTCAACAGCTGTACATAATATATTCCAATGACTAGGACCCACGCGCGGCATGGGGTGGTGAATGGGTCTCCCCCTTCTTCACCTCGAGCCCTCGAGGGAACCTAGGGACATAGACGCCCCTTAAGTCAGGGTGTCCTGGTATCAAAGCGTCTCGTTTGGGGCCCCCCCTGGCGTCTTACAGGACCAGAGAACCCCCTGGCGTCTAAGAGGTCGAGGCCGATCGACTGGATGTTGATACGAACTGTCTGGAAGACCTCCATGGACGGACTGCCGCCCCCAGAAAGACCTCCATGGGCACCATCACCACCACCCCAATGGATCGGCATATCTATGGCACACATATGGAGCCCAAACACTCCATGGGACTGGCATAGGACTGCCGAGAAACGGCCAGGGGTGGTTTTATATAGGGGTCTTTCTGGGGCGGCAGTCCGTCCTGGCAGTCCTATGGAGTGCCCGGGGGGTGTCTGGGATTGGATCTCCTTCGTTTGTCCCGACTTCGCCCACGTTTTCGCCGACCCGTGCAGGGAACCGTGGGAAGGTCGGGCGAGACGACGTGGGCAGAAGTCAGACGTGTTCCAAATCAACCGACCAAGCGTTTTTTTCGAGCATGACTGAGCATGATTGAGCAACATCACTAATGCGTTTTGGGTGGGATATGAGGAACGATGTTGCTGAATCATGCTATCATTATTGGGAGTATCATATGATTGGGAGTCATCATATGATTGGAGAGGACGTTGACCGGTGGTGAACGATTTCATAGTCATGACTCCCAATCGAGGGAGGCGACGAGCTCTGAGGTCACGCCGCCCACAAAGGAACCGGCCACGAGAACGCGAGAACCGGCGTTCTATAAGGTCACTTAACCTCTCTTGGGTTTACATCTGTTGGGTTGGTTGAAGTCGGAGTCTTTGTGGGGCAGTCCGCCCAGTCCCAGACAGGTAGTGTCTGGACGAACGTGTCAAGGTGCAGGTGCCTTCAGTCTCCCTTTGGAAGGCCAGTTCGATGACTTTTTCTTTACACCACCACTCAAGTCAAGTCTTGAAATTCCAGGACTTGGATCAGACCATTCGTACGACCGTTCTTAAAAATAGGTGAAATTGTAAGAATTTTTAGATCTCCTATACATTCAATTTTGGACCTGACTACGTACTACTACAATTCTTATCAATTCAGTCACTCGTTTCCCTCTCCTCAGGTGAAGAGTTGGTCTTGCAACGTAGCGAACGGGTGGAGAACCTGCAGCTAGGAGCGGCCGCGTACGGAAGGGGCCAGAAGGGTGTGTTGGGGGCGGTTTTGGGGGACTCGATAACTAAAAGTGTTGGGGGCGGTTTTGGAGTTCCTATTTTTCCAACACTAATGGCACTGAAGGTCCTTTTAATACACATCGAGGCAAACCACTATAGCTGGTAACCAGTGGTTCCAAAGACTAAAGCCATAGACCGAACGAGTCCCTGGTTCCTTAGTACTCGTGGTTTGCCTGGGATGCACTGGGCATAATTTTGGATGTCCTGGTGTTTTGCAAACATTCTGCGATCACTTGGACGAACACTTGGATCCTTGAGAAAGAGGCCATGTCTTCATTGGCCCCCCCAAGTTTGAGGCACCTTTGAAGCTTCTGACTAGCTGCAAGGAAGTTGGGGGAAGTTGTACATCGCAGCAAGTGCCACTTGCAACGCACAGTATGTCTATCAGCGTTGTCCTTCCCCTGCGAGGATACAGGAGCTACCACCCAACCTCCGCCATATGTTGCGATTTTTTTGACTAGCTGATTAGCACATCATGGGGAACGACCTGGTAAATGCGCGCCTGTTTGGCCTGTAAACTGTATACTTGGCTGTTTATCGAACTGGGACCCCTCTCAACCAGTGGGTCCTGGGTCTAGACCGATTTTGCGCTGTCACACGATCTTTTGCAGACATTTCTCTCTAGTTCAGTGCTCAGTGCTCTTCTTCTTCCCCAAAGTGTGGTCTCCAACCACAAGCTCCAACCACGTCTCTCATCGTCTCTCACCGCTCAGACCGGACGGGTGTCCTCAGGACGCGTGGAGAGCAAAGCGCTCTTCTTGCAGGGCATGCCTCTCTGCGAGGCGCCCGGTTTCATCCGTCCTTCGCCCCCCATGCCGAAGATTCGGGGGGTTCAGTCTCCGCCCGGCGGGCCGACCGGAGGTTCAGCCGCCCGGCGGAATCCGGAGGTTCAGGAGAAGACGCAGGGGGCAAACGGAGCAAGCGGATGGGAGGACTTCACTCAGGAAGGATCAGGGGCAAACTGGAACTTTTGGGAGATTGGGAAGCATGTTCACTCCGCGTCCTTTTGTGAAGGAAGGCGGATGAATTGGCGATGTAACGATGTGTTGAAGGATTGACATGTTGAAGAATTTATCTGGGATGTGGTTTTCGCTGATGTTTTCAGTTTTAAAGTTGTTTTATGTTCACGCTCTACTTGGGATGGTGCATGTTGACATACCTACAACCTGTTTGCCTTGTCCTCGCAACCGTTGTTTAAGGCGGCGCGTTTGGGCCGCCTTTTGGTTCCGAACACGTGGTGTCCGAGAACCGCGAAGATGTCTCGGACACGGAGGTCTTAAGGGTCTGGTTTGGAGAAAACGCCGGAGGTGACCTGTGAAGTGGGGTAGATATTGGTCGATGACTCCATCCCCCAGATGCATGATCTACCTGTGACATCATCCGGATCGTTCAACAACATCACCCTTTTGGGCGGACGCCCGTGGTGATGGTAAGGCGGGTGAGTAGGGTTGTTTTGGCGATGGTAATGGGACTGGAAGAGGTACCGGTAGATGGGTAAAGACTGAACAAAAATGGGTAAAGGCAGGTACTAGGACCCACGGTCGGGGTGGTCAATGGACATTCCGAATCACCTCTTTTCAGGGCTAGGTGTATAGACACCCCTGGGCCGGGGGTTGGTACAGGAATTTAGGTGTATAACATAACTATATAACCTGAACTGCTGTCCCATGGGATGGTCTTGTCATGGTCCGGATCTTGGGTCAACCCACCTTTCGAAAGGAAAGGTCGAAAGACCTTGGTGAGCCAGTCCGGTTCCTGGACAGCTTGGCTCCCAGCAAGTTCCAAACGGGCAGTTTGGGAGGACACCCAGATGCAGCTGCTTTCCGGAGGTCCACCTTCACACAGAGCCGTGATCCAAGACCACTTGGCTTGTTTTTGTCGCCAGAGCAAGAAAGCAAAGAAACATAGACCCTAGGATTCAAACAACCATTGTTTTTATGGTCTTTACCAAAGACCCCTTGTTTTGCTAAGGATTTTTACATTACACCACCAGCTCAACCGTTCTTTTAATGGTCTTTGAAGGCTAGGGTAGACCTCATGCCATGGTAAACCCTGCATGGGGGTTGGTTCCCATCTTGTTGCATGACCCGTCTCGTCAGGCTTTGCTCGCCCTCGCACCTGTGATGTCTAAAAAGCACTTCCACTGACATGCTCCTGGTCCCAACCGCCCCAACCCGCCGGAGGGGGCCGTGGTCGGCGACGATTGTTCGACGGTGCTCGCGTCGCAGGTGCTTCCGTCCCCATGGCTCTTTGAAGGATGGGCCAGGGGCAGCGGATGCCCGCTTTCGGATGGCTTTCAGGGGTGAATCGATGGTGAGGGATGTTACTGTTATGGGTGAGTTGGGGAGCCTGTTCCGGGGTCCGCGGGCTTAGCTCAAGGGTTGGGAACTGTGAATGACCGCTTCGTTTTTGGCCGGCTATAGTAATGTAGTCCCTTGATTAATAAACCCCCCCCCCTCCCCCCTGTCCCCCCCCCCCCACC